GCATATATCTTACATTGATTATGTCCACCCTTCCTTATCCTCTTCCTCCTCTGCTTCCCCCTTCTCAGTCCCTAACAGTCCCTCTTCTGCTTTCAGGTCATTCCTTTTTAAAAATTTCCACATGTGAGAGAGAACATGCAATATTTGTCTTTCTGTGTCTGGCTTATATTATGTAACATGATGATCTCCAGTTCCATCCATTTTCCTACAAATAAAAGTTTTTATTCTTCTTTATGTATGAGTAATTCATTGTGGTTTTGATTTGCATTTTGCTAACATCTAATGATAACATTTTTGCCCATTTTTAAATTGGGTTATTTGGGTTTTCTTTAAATTGATGAGTTATAAAAATTGTTTATATATTTTAGATTAAGTTGCTTACACATTATAAATACTTTCTCCCATCCTATAGATTGTCTCTTCACTTTTTTGATAGTGTCCTTTGAGGCATAAAAGTTTGAAATTTGGATGAATACAGTTTATTATTTCTTGCTTGTGCTTTTGGTATCATATTGAATCTTATTTTTAATATGAGTTACTGGTGATTTTTTGGTACTGGGGATTGAAGCCATTGCATTTTACCTCTGAGTCATATCTCTAGTCCTTTTTGTTTTTTATTTTAAGACACTGTATCACTAAGTTGCCTAGGCTGGCCTGGAACTTGGAATCCTCTTGTCTCAGGCTCTCGAGTTGCTGAGATTACAGGTGTGCACCACTATGCCCATTTTAGAAAGTGATATTCTTGTTGTCTGGTGGGTTTTTGAAGAAAATTTAAAAGAAAATGATTTCCATTTCATTTAATGGTAGGATTCAGTCAAGCTAGGCCTTGAGTGAAATGAAGCTTTAAAAAACACTTTTGATATTAAAAAAGTGTGACTTTGCAACCAAATCAAAACTTTGAATTCAACATTGATTTTTCTAGGTTTTCTTACAGACTTTAATATAAATCTGTGATCTTTTACATGGTGTGATTTCAGTGTGCATTTTATTTGATTTCATCACTTAATAGTGTGTTTCTATAATCTCATATCTCTATGTTGTCTGAGGTTGTTTAGAGCATCATCTAATTAGGCATTTAAATTATTTGCATTTGCTTAATTAACATTCTTACAAAGTTTCCTTTCTTTCTTTCTTTCTTTCTTTTTTTTTTTTTTTTGAGGAAGGTGGCTTTAGAATACTATGGGCATGTATTTTGTGGTATAGTCTAAAAAATGGACAAATGGAAAAGTATTTTTTGAGTATTTTATTTAAGATGTTTATGGACCTTTATTTTATTCATTTATTTATATGTGGTGCTGAGGATCCAACCCAGTGCCTCACATGTGCCAGGCAAGCGCTCTACCACTGAGCCACAACCCCAACCCAGGAAAAGCAATTTTTAGTGGTATATAATACATGTCCTCTTTAGAGAACATGTTTCATTTTTATTACACATAATAGGCATGTCTGTTACAGAATTCCATATGGCAAATGGTAGATACGTGCAGAGGTATGAGGAGCTCTGGGGTAAGAGGATTTAGTCAGAGATGCAGGAGGGGATGAGGTTAGCTGCATCTACAAGGGGTGTAGGAGGTAGCTGGACTTCAAAAGGAAGGATTCAAAGGAGAGAAGGTGAAACTTGAAGTCACAGAGTGAACATCTTACTGGAGGATCAAGTGTGAGACATAACCACCTCAGTTTTTTATCCTAAGCCTAGCTGACACCATTCATTGGCATTGGAGAAGGATCATAATGGCATCCATCCCCACTTACCTGCAGCCTTCCTAGTCTTCTCGCTTGCAGCTCATTCTCCTACTGCAGCCAATTATATTTCTGGACTCTGCATTTGCTAAAGCTATTTCGGTGACTTTCTGGTACTCCAGTGTACCGATAGAAATTCTTCCTGTGACTTTTAAGACCCTGCCTGTTCCAGTCCCATCTCTCTAGCACACTCCTTACTCTCCGGCCTCTGGGTGCTTAGGCTTACTTTGGGTTCTCCCAGTCTTTGGCAGGGCCAGGCTTTCTTGGCAGGGTCTTGACATGGGTTGGTGGTCCCTCTTCCTGGTTCAGGCTCCCTTCTTTCTTGTAGGTTCTCCCCGCCTGTTGAGCTTAGCCTATGGTCAAACCCACTTCCCCCAGGTCAGATTCCCCTTTCTTCGAGTCATGTTGGTGAGGCCTGTGTCCTAAGGACAGCATGCAGCTAAAATGATCATTGAGATACCACGTTGGAGACTAATGTACAGTCTCATTAAAACTGTGACACAGCCATTTCCTTCTGGCATTGAAAGTACTGCTTTTTTCTTAATTGTAGCTTGGCAGGTAAAACAGCTGGCTTATGTTATAGGATTATGTTGTATGCAAAGTAAGTCCTGATGGCTGGAATCAGGACCAGCTCCATGAGATACTGCATGCAGGGCTTGGATCTGATTGAAGGAGCCCTAGATTTGCACATTGTGCCTCTCACTCACCATGGGAGATGGGGGGAAACTCCCCTACACTATTTTAAATTGTTCTTTTATTTTGGGCTGAGTGTGAGTAGTTATAGTACTATACACCATGTACCTCTCACCTCTCATTTTGTAGGACTTGCCACAGTTATGACTTAAGTGGCTTTATGTATGAAAGTCACACTCACCCACAGACAGATTATGTGTGTGTGGTTTGTATCCTCAGTGTGTGGCACATAGTAGGCACTCAGTAAATCCTTTTTGAGAAACAACTTTCCCATTCATCCTATGGAAAACTAGCCTTCTGTGGAGATGCTTTAGAGTTCTGCACACATTTGGCTCACATTTCATTTAAAATATGTTTTAAACCATTTAAACTCTAATAAATGGTTTACTAGTAAAACAGGCACACTCATTTGTTTTATGGTACAATATGTGCTTTTTACTACATATTGAAAGATTAGCAACTACTAGTTCTGTTAGGTTAACTTGTTCGTGGTGCAGATCTCTCCTCCACCTTCGGTGCTGGGGATTAAATCCAGGGTCACTTAACAACTGATCTACATTCTCAGCACTTTTTTTTTTGAGATAGTGTCTTGCTAAGTTAATTGACTGGCTTCAAACTTGCCATCCTCCTGCCTTAGCCTCCAAAGTTGGTGGGATTACACAGGTGTGCACCACTACACCTGGCCGCCTTGTGCAGATCTTGCAATAAAGCAAACGGTTGAAAGTCTCTGACTTTGCAACTGCTTTTGGGGGGTACTGAGGGTTGAACCCAGGTGCACTTTACCACTGAGCTACATCTCCAGTTCTTTTTATTTTTTTATCTTTTTAAAAAAAAAAACTTGTTTATTATTTTGGTACTAGGGATGGAACCCAGAGATGATTAACCACTGAGCAACATCCTCAGCCCTTTTTATTTTCTGAGACAGTCTTGCTGAGTTGCTTTAGTGCCTCGCTAAGTTGCTCAGACTGGCTTTGAACTTGCAATCCTCCTGTCTCAGCCTCCTGAGCCTCTGGGATTACAGGCATGCATGCCACATCTGGCCATGCTTATTTTCGTYATACCTACAACAACAACACTAAAATCCTCAAACAAATGCAGAATCAGTTGCATTTGTCATAGCCTAGTGGATTAAGTGCCTGAGCTTTAGAGTCTGTCACATGTATGTCTTATTCTCGCCTTTTGCTAGTTGTGTGATCCTGGGCAAGCTATGTAACCTCTGAGTCAGCATCCTCATCTGTAATGTAGGAGTAATAAGAGACTTGTGAGGCATAAATGCAGTGTCATAGGGTAAATGGCACAGAGAACTCCATCAGTGTTAGTTGCTGCTGTTTTATCCTTAACCCTAAATGTTAGCATTTTGAAGAGTATTTTTTTCATTGATTGAATTATATATGAGTTAATAACTGATTATATATACACACACACATACACATACGGAGATATATATATATATATATATATATATATATATATATATATATATATATATATATCTCCCCCACAAAAATGCTATTTGCTTTATAAAGGTGGGTATAGGGGTGAAACCATTGGTTTAGACTAAGAGACTTAGTACCAAGTACAGTTCTACATTGGCATCACTGGGAAACCTTCAAATTGAATTTGATCCTTTGGTGTCTAATGTAGGCCTGCCTACCCTCTTACTTGTTCTGCACATAGCTCTTGCTGAAATTCAAGGTAAGAAAAGGCCATTAAAGAACCTGTCTGTAAAACTGCCAGTAAAGACTTCTTCATATATTTATTCCACAGAAATTTCCTTCACTGTTCTTATGAACCTGGCACTGTGACAAAACATTTTTGTCCCATGATCTGAGTGAATCTTCCCAACAATCCTATAAGATTGGCCACTTTGTTTTTGTGTTGCTGGGGATTGAACTCGGGGCCTTGCACATATTAGGCAAGTGCTTTACCACTGAGTTACACCCCCAGCCCTCTGTTGTCACCCCTGCTTCCATGAGACTTCAAGAGGTTAAGTAGCTCATGCAGGGGCTGTGCTCCTGGCTGTTGGTACTGGAAATAAGCTCTCTTTTCTGACCTGTGCCCTTGTTCACTTAGAAGGAAGTTTTCATTTTGCCTTGGTTGCACAGGAGCTTCATGACACTGTGCTACCTTTAGCCTTGTCCACACTCTTCCTGTATCATGTTAGTGCCTCCTCCCTCCTCCCCTTTTGTTTTCCTTGTTTGTGTTGTCTTTATATTGTTTTCTAGAATGACTTGTTCTCATCCACCCAAAGTTTGGGCAAGTTTTAAAGAATGAGATATTCTCTACTTCCTCTTAATATAATTTTATAGGTATTGTGGTGTGTGAAACTTAGAAGGGTTGGCAGGCAACAGTTTTTTGGGAAAAAACAATTAAAGTGTAATATTTGATGTAGGCCTTTTTTTTAGGCTGAAGATGATCATGGACTGCACTTAGGTACGGTGTTTTAGGTTAAGAAACTGGCTGCTAATAGAAATCACATTTATTTCATATTTTAATTATTGTTTTTAGTCTTAAAATTATGCAAAGAAGTTCAAGTTGCTAATGTGAGCTTTCTAATTTTTTTGCAGGTAATGATGCTTGAATTGAACTTCTACTAAGGTAAAGTTGATGGGACTATGCTTTTCCCAGATATTTTTATCTGTAGAATTTAGCTAAATTACTGAAGTAATGTTTTTCACCTTGGTAAAGATTATTGCCTTTGGATAGTCATTCCAAACATAAGGAACATAAGGCTTTTTTTGAAGCCAGGTGTGCTTAACCACTGAACCACATCCCCAACCCTTTTCATATTTTAATCTTGTTAGGTTGCTTGGGGCCTTGCTAAGTTGTTGAGGCTGGCTTTGAACTCGCAAACCTCCTGCCTCAGCCTCCTGAATCGCTGGGATTACAGGTGTGTGCTACTGAGCCCGACACTTTTAGGTAAATTTTTTAAATGACATAGTAGGATTCTCCCCCCGCTCCCCCCGAAAGGGTACCAGAGATTGAACTCAGGGGCACTCAACCACTGATCCACATTCCCAGCCTATTTTTTATTTTACTTAGAGACAGGGTCTCACTGCGTCGCTTAGCACCTCTATTTTGCTGAAGCTGGCTTTGAACTTGCAGTCTTCCTGTCTCCTGTATCATGAGCCTCCCGAGCCGTTTGGATTTCCTGTATGGGATGACAAGTATTACACACCCAGCTAGTAGGATACTTTTAATTATTTAATTTATGTTAAAATTTCTGGTTTTAAAGAAAAACAAAGGGAACATTTTTAATGTCCATAAATTATGATTATGTTAATGTATTGATTTAGTGAAGCTGGCCTCTGTTAGATGTCAGTGGGAAATAAGATGGTTTGCATATTTATTTATAACCACCATGTATGTTTGTATATAGGTTAGAATCAAAGAGGTATTCATATATATTATTAATTATTGTAGAAAATACTAATATATTCCTAAATAGTATCTGAGGTTGATTTCTAAACTGTAGTTAGGAAATTTGAAAAATTATACCCTATTTCCTGGTATATGGGTTTTGCATAAGCCAAATTTGTTTGGTCAGAAAAATAACACAAAGTAGGAAATGCCACATGATTATGAGAAAGGAAAAGAATTATTCAAGTGTCCTGATAAAATTATAAATTAGAAATCTCAAGGATTTAATCTAGGTGGAGTTGTTTGATTATAGAATCTGGCTTTCGGTTTCATTTAATGATTCTAAAAATGCAATGCTGTACAATAAAACTTTGTGTCTGGTCAGGCAGTTAGATTAGTAGACTTATTAAAATACTAGGATAAATGATAGAATCATGCACATCTGTTATTCCCTCATAACACACCATGGAACTTTTGTGTTTCAGTATGTTAAAAATTGTATGAAAGGAACAACATTAGGGGAGTTGCTGGAAAAAGGTTCCCAGTGGAGTTGATGACSATGCCAAGAGCAGGTCTGAAAGCATAGCAGTTCATTGGGGTGGGAGTTGGGAGGACCACCAGCAGAGGGAACAGCATATGCCAGTGTAATGAATGTGTAAGATGAGCTGTCAGTTCCATGTGACAATGCATTTCAGAATGACTTGAGCAAAGAGGCAAGGTGGGAGGTGAGCTCTTTTGCCTTAGAAATTGACTTAGTCCTGAGATAAACCATTGAAGAATATTAATCATTTGAGGAAGCATCAGATGCTTTCCCTACATTGAAATACAGTTAACAGTGGGGACACATTCTGAGAAATGCATAATAAGGTGATTTCTACTTTGTGTGACCATTGAGTATGGTTACACAAACCTCAGTGGTACAAATCAATCACTAGACATGACCTCTTGATGCCATCAGTAAACATAGTAAACATGAGGTGTATGAGACTGCTCTGATCTAACATGGCATATGTTTTGCAGTAAACTTTTTAACAAGTAGGAGTAYWYSTTAAAATAATGATAGTAKAGTATACAACCARAGACATGAAAAATTGTGCTCTATTTGTATAATGAATTCAATTGCATTCTGCTGTCATATAACTAATAAGAATAAATAAATTTAAAAATATTTTTTAAAGTATAGTTTAATAAATACATAAGCCAGTAATATAATCATTAGCAAGTATTATGTACTGTACATAATTGTGTGTGCTGTACATTCTCTACAACTGGCAGCATTGTAGGTTGGTTTACACCACACATGAATAATTCATTGCACTATAATAACTATGATACCACTAGATGATAGGAATTTTTCAGCTCCATTTTAATCTTTGGGAGCACTGTTCCAATGTGGGGGTCTGGTGTTGACTGAAGTCTTTGTGTGACCCATGCCTGTACAACTGATTTGCTTTTTTGGTTTTGTTGATCTTTTTTATGTTGCAGTTGTTTAAGCAAAATTCAAAATTAAGATTTAGTGAATTATTACCTGTGTTAGGAAATTAAGGGACTTGAAGTTGTTTTGTTTTCTGCTCTAACATTAGGGCATTGAGCAGAGCAACCCATTTTATACCAAAAAAGGCTTCCAGAAGGTAGGTACTTTATTTGCCTCACACTTTTGTTGAAGAGTTTAAATTGTATTTATTATCATAGTAATGAATAGAGTAGTAATTTGAAAAGAACCAACAAGAATTAAGAACTAAGAYATGTTTATCATTTTTTAATCATKTTTTCCCACTTACTTGATTTCTCCCTATACAAACTGCTACAGGTTTTTATCAGAATAGTAGAGCCTATAGTTAGAAATGGAGAATTCCACATTTCACCACACAAGCATTGATTTTTTTTTTTTCCCAAAATGTGGGGACAACCATTGAAGCTTTAAAAAAAATTTTTTTTGGTGGTATTACTTAAAAATCATTTATTACTAAACTGTTTTTGATGCAAGGTTAGGATGCACAGAATACTCATGAGTATATGTTRACCATTAATGTGGTTGTGATGATTATGTGGTGAAATACTACATGGTTCTTTAATGTTACAGAAGTGTTCGGTTACATTATACTGGGTCACATTGGCATATAACAAGGAAACAGCCAGATAATGTTAACTGCAGTGGTTTTGCAAACTTATCCTGGTCAATAATAACAATTGTCATTTGTGTCTTTATTATCTTCCTATCAAAGGATTCACAATATTTACTTTAACATTACGGTTAATGACCATCTTTACTCTTGAGCTGTGCCATCCAGTGCAGCTATTGTTTAAGTGTRACTATTTAAATTAGTCTAAAATAAATGGGCTGGGGGTGTAGTTGAGTGGTAGAATGTGTGCTGAGCCCTGAGTTTAATCCCCAGCCCAAAAAACATTTTTCTAGTCCAGAGTGGTGGTACAYGCCTGTAATCCCATTGTCTCAGGAGGCTGAGACAGGAGGATTTCGAGTTCAAAGCCAGCCTCAGCAACTTAGCAAGGTGCTAAGCAACTCAGTGAGACCCTGTCTCTAAATAAAATACAAAGAAGGGCTGAAGATGTGGCTCAGTGATTAAGTGCCCGGTAAAATTCAGTTCCTTACTCCCACCAGCTACTTGTCAAGTGCTGAACAGCCACATCTGGCTAATGATTGCCATATTGGACATTTTGATCACTGTATACAATTCTTTTAACAGTGCTTCTCTACAGTTTATTTTCTTCAATGAAATGTAGTATATTTAAAAAGCCATTTAATACTGAAATATTTATAGGCTAAGTGATATAATTTTGATTTAAAATAAYTGAGGACAAAGGAGAGTGGCAGTTGAGGAAAAAATAGATTTGCCGTACATGGACACTTGGTAAATCTTGGTTTAGAGTTCATGGATATTCATTATATTATTTTCATTACTTAGAAGTTTTGTGTATGTTTGAAATTTTCCATAATTTAAAAAAGAAAAGCATCAAATAGGAAAGTGTTCCCATAAGCACTTAGAAGTAGCTGTCAATAGGCATCAGAAATCTCAACTTGCAGGTTGGCTCTTTAAGTATAAGAAAGTTTTTAATCCTGCTCCAGGACTTCCTCTAATATAGCACATCTACATTTATTTCATTCCACTTGAAAACACACAAGTAACAACACAGGCTCATATTTTCTAAGAGGTAGAGTGCCCAAATTAGTCTTGTGAATAGAATATGCCAGATTATATTAATTATGCTGGGTGCAGTTGCACACACCTATAATCCCAGTTGATCAGGAAATTGAGACAAGAGGATCACGTTCAAAGCCAGCCTCAGCAACTTGGCAAGGCCCTAAGCAACTCAGTGGAATCCTGTCTCTAAATAAAATACAAAAGAGCTGAGGATGTCACTCAGTGGGTGAGTGCCCCTGGATTCAATCCCCAGTTCCTCCCTCCTTAATTGCTGCTGACATTGATTTTAGCAAGCTCAAAAAAGTGTTCCTAAAGAGGAGAAATAAACTCCCTTTACCAGTGGTTGGCTCACTTCTTTTTCACAGACAGATCAGTGAGCTTCTGGAAGTCTCTGGCTTTCCTGCTTAACAGTGCCTATGTCTGCAGAGTGGAGGGGGGTGGGCAATAGAAAAAAAAATCCCTGGCACAAGGAGCACCATTCATGAACACCATCACTGTGCACTGRAGCGCTGTTTGAAGATACTAAAGAAAGCTGAAGACTTGGTCTCTTAACCATCTTTTTAAMAAGGGATGATGTGGCTTATTGTGAGCAAGGAGGGGCTTAATAGATSAATGGTTCAGAGCCAGGTCTTTGGGGTCAGATTTGGTCTTGAATGAGAGATTTGTAGCTGTGACCCAAGAAAGAGGAAGAATGAGTCCCTGCTACCTGTTCTAGGGAATAAATAGTAGGATAGAAGTTGGCACATGGTTTAATGCTCAGGTAATGACAGTTCTTATTATTTAGRTGTGCTCCTTGCAAAAAGGAATTGGGGCTATTTTAGTTCACTTAAATGCTAATATTTCTAGAATAATGCAGAGCATTCGGGTGTGAAGGAATTTAATGGTACCTTTTTATTTTACAGGGTTCTGAAGTCAAAACTTGTAAGATTAACAATGGCAGGAAAATCATCGCTTTTTAAAGTAATTCTCCTGGGAGATGGTGGAGTTGGGAAGAGTTCCCTTATGAACAGATATGTAACTAATAAGTTTGATGCCCAGCTCTTCCATACAATAGGTGTGGAATTTTTAAACAAAGATTTGGAGGTGGATGGACATTTTGTTACCATGCAGATTTGGGACACAGCTGGCCAAGAGCGATTCCGAAGCCTGAGGACACCATTTTACAGAGGTTCTGACTGTTGCCTGCTCACTTTTAGTGTTGATGATTCACAGAGCTTCAAGAACTTGGGTAACTGGAAGAAAGAATTCATATATTATGCAGAGRTAAAAGAGCCCGAAAGTTTTCCTTTTGTGATTTTAGGCAACAAGATCGACATAAATGAGCGGCAGGTGTCCACTGAAGAAGCCCAAGCCTGGTGCAGAGACAACGGCGACTATCCTTACTTTGAAACAAGTGCAAAAGATGCCACCAATGTTGCAGCAGCCTTTGAGGAAGCGGTTCGAAGAGTTCTTGCTAACGAGGATAGGTCAGATCACTTGATTCAGACAGACACRGTCCATCTCCACCGAAAGCCCAAGACAAGCTCATCTTGCTGTTGATTGTTAGATTATCAGTGCKTTCTAACCAATTCATACATGCACTTAAGAGTGGATAAGAGATTAGTGTTGCAGCAGTGTATCATCTACTAATAAATTTCAACTAATGTTTATTGCTGCTTCATTAGTTGGTGGGAGAAGGGACACATCCATTCTGGAGGAAATCTATTTAATGGCACCTTACATTTATAAATTGTAATGGTTGCCTAATAATGTTTCTTTAATTTAAATATGTAAGTTAGAGCTAATAAATGAGATGACCACAATTGTAACTAATTAAAACAAAAAACTTAACTATTCTAGAAGTTATACTTGGATTGTTCTGTGCCCGTCCCCTGCCTCCCCCCCCCACCCCTGGGAAAATGGAGAACTACTTTTTATATCTGTATATTTTTATGTAATTAGCATTGTATTGTTGGTTCAGGGAAATGACTTCCTAAAGCAATAATGTTAAATATTAAAGATTAAAATCTAATGCATTTACATTGCATTGCTTTTTTGATTGTCTTCATCTCTAAAATGATTTAAATCATTCTCATTCATTCTACATATTAGAATCCATCTGACTTACAGTTGCTCATTTGTGCAGCGCATGCAACCCCATCTTCCCAACACAGAAGCCAACTTTATAGTAAGGATTGTACTTTGTGAGAGGGTAAATGAAGACATCTTTGATAAGGTATTATTTAGTGCCTTCTCTAAGGAAACACTCAATACTTTTTTGCTCTGAAGATTATTTGTTCTAAAAAGAGGACTTGCTTGGGCTGGGGATGTGGCTCAAGTCGTAACACGCTTGCCTGGCATGTACGGGGCGCTGGGTTCAATCCTCAGCACCTCATAAAATAAATATTAAAAAATTCTCTCTCTTTAAAAAAAAAAAAAGAGGACTTGCTGCAATGACCAGACTTGGTAAAGCAGATTGTGGTCTTTCATGGGTCAAGTTCATATGCTGTGCCTATCCTGTGGAGACAATTCAAATCTAGACTGCAATTAATGTGGACAAGACCCTCAGCTATGGMGCTGTGTAGTAGGGGAGACCATTGTCCTATAGGGAAGTAAAATTTGAAAAACTAGATTAATACATTTTTCCTCAACCATTGAGAATCACACATCATTGTAGTAAGCAGGCTAAGTCTGATTTCCTAACATAAGGGACAGTTTTGTCATAGGGAACATTTTAAATTTGGGGTAGTTTCTTCATATTCTCGTGTTAGAATGAGCTGTACTTTTGGGGGAGTGGGTATCTGAGGATTAAACTTGGGGGCACTCAACCACTGAGCCACATCCTCAACCCTTTTTTTGTATTTTATTAGAGACAGTGCCTCACTTTTSCTGAGGCTGGCTTTGAACTTGCAATCCTCTCCTCAGCCTCCTAAACTGCTGGGATTACATGATGCACCACGGCGCTCAGCTGAGCAGCACTTTTTAAATTTTCAATTTTTTAAAGTTGTAGTTAAACACAAACCTTATTTMTTTKTATGTGGYGCTGAGGATCAAACCCAGTACCTCACACATGCTAGGCAAGCGCTCTACCACTGAGCCACAACCACAACCCCTGAACTTGTTTTTAAATCAAAAGTGTACCCACTATATGGTGCCTTGTCATTTTTTCTTAATATATATAGTTGGAGTATTTCTACTGTATATAGAGTAGTAGTAATATTCATTAACTTTATGGATATGTAACAAATCATTTCTTTGGCTTCCCAAAATTTTAGACCTGTGCAACAAAAGATGATCAAAGRAACAGATCTTTGTGTCCACAGAGAAAGGCTGAAGGGAGAATAATCCAGCTTCATGTTGTCTTAMAGAATTTTGGTGAACACTAATTTACCAAACATGATACTGAAATGTAAAAACAAGAGGAGGAAGAACTTTACAGAATAGCTTTGACCTTCAGAGAAACTGCAGCTGATGGAAAAGCACTTCAACCAGCAGCAAAAATTAKCGGAGAAATCTGATTCTCTTTTGTTTAAAGAAAGTAAAAGGTACTCGAATGGCAGGTACGACCTATACAAATTAGAACAATATGGAAAAGTGAATAGAAGTGGGGAACAAGTGGACTATGGTAGCAGGAGTGGTGAGAAGCAGCTGCCCAGCCTCCCAGTGAACAGATGGGAAGAACTGTAGGTCATGCTTCACAGCCCCATGGTAAAGGAGTTGCTCACCACGTGGTGTCTTATCATTACAATAGTCATACATCCAACTAAGTTCARGCTGTATATGAATGCAGACTTTCARTAGGGTAAATAAGACTAAAAYAGTGGTGGTATTGGGAGGCCCTTCAAAATTGGTTATCAAACTACCACAATTGCCAGCACAGTGGCACACACCTATACTTCAGAGGCTGAGGCAGGAAGAGTTTTTGTGTGTGTGTGTGTGTGTGTGTGTGTGTTTTAAAGAGAAGAGAATTTTTTAAATATTTTTCAGTTTTCGGTGGACACGTCGTCTTTATTTTTATGTGGTGCTGAGGATCGAACCCAGTGCCCCCGCACGTGCCAGGTGAGCACATTACCGCTTGAGCCACATCCCCATCCCTGGAAGAGTGTTTTAAGAAAAAGGCAACCTGCTGAACTTGGAACATGAGATGGAAAATTGCAATACCATCAGTGGACTAAAGTTTTTGCCACTTTTCTTCACCCTTGTGAAAAATTCCCAAGTTAAACAACACACATGTTCCTTATCTTAAAAGAAAACCTTACTTTTTACATYCCTATGCAAACTTCTCACTTTTATTATTATGACACCATGATATAAGTTCTCTCACAATATATCTTATAAAGCAGTAAAGTACTGAAGAGAAAAAAAGACGACTTCGGGCACCCAGTGAAAGGTAGAGCTYGTATAGTCAGTGGTTTCCAGGATGCCAAGGACTGTCAACCAGAAATATTGAAGTAACAGAGTTATTAAGGTAGTAGCATGGGCAGAGCAGAAACTCTTCTACACATAGGAAACATGGATGTTGAATGAAGCATCCTAGGAAATTTTCAGCTAGAGAGGACAAAACCAGATTTGTGTATTTTATCTGGGTCACTTTGGGAGTACTAATGTATATTAACAATTTAGTGCTGACATGCATGTGCCTAGTACAGTATGGTTTTCTTATGACTGATTTCACCCCTTTACTCGTGTTCCAGAATCTTCAAGGCATCACCTACCAGATTCARGCTAAACACCTTTGTTTTTCTAATGCTCAGCTCCTGACTTCCCCCTTAAACCAGTCCTTGTTCTATCCTGTCAGCCTCTTGTGTTTTTTTCCATGCCCCTTTCTTGAATGCTGCTTCCCTAYGTGGCCCACTTCTGAAGTCCCATTCTGGTGGACGTCCCTTTGAGCTCCTTCAATGATGCAGCCACATGTGAAAATTGGCATTTAACTCTGAGAATATAGTCTCACCCTCACAAGGCTTGAGAAAAGGAAGGCTATTTGCAGGGTACCACTCCTATGTAGCTGAGACAGAGCCTGAYGCAGATCTTCTCAGCCCTATGACTTCCTGCTGTTAACACACTGCTSCTCCTAGCTGGCTCACTTTATAGCCCTCAGGATTATATGCTAAGGGTGGGGCAAATTATACACAATAAATACATGCTTGGGTCTCCTATTAGCGTGGCTGGAATTACTCCTAGATTTCTATGAGTATCTTTGCCTGCTCCCAAAACTATGGTGCCTACTCAGAAGTGATCTGTCCATTGGATTAGGTTATTTTACTTTGCAGATTTTCAATAGGGGAAATAGGACTAAAACAGGTTGTGTTGGGCGGCCCTTCAAAATTGGTTATCAGACTACCTCAACTGGCAGCACAGTGGCACACATCTATACTTCAGAGGCTGAGGCAGGAGGATCACAAGTTCAAGGCTAGCCTGGACAATTTTAGTAAGTTCTTATCTCAAAATAC